TGCCACAACAAGCTCCACCACACCAATGCTTCTTCTGGCCCTAGGACCGCCCCTCAGAACTATGACCTAGATCTAAGCACGGGCAAAGCATGAGATTCCTGCCTCAGCACTGGTAAAGTGATCCCTGCAATCCCCCTCTGATCAGCTACTTGATTACCCTTCAGTCTATGGGCCAGAAGCTCAGGAGGCAGCCACAGCCCATGCTCAGGCTTTGAGGCTGAGACCTAGCCTCTCTCTCACTGTAGTCACAGATTTTTCCCACTGACCTTCTAAGTTGCCTTTGGCGTTCATGGGTTGAGAGGTCTAGAAACTGCCACAGCTGCCTGCAATTTCAGTCCTCTGAGGCCTGCTCCAGGTTCACTGCGGCCTGTGCGCCCACACAGAACTGCACTCCTTTCCCTGCCCGGCGCGATGTACCTTTCTGATCAACCATCCAGTTTGTCTTGGGCTGGAAATTTGTTTCACTCTGTCTTTTTGTGGGTTCTGCTGCTTTAAAATTTGTTTAGAGTCATTTTTTATAGGTATTTGGAAGGGTTTGGGGGAGAGCTCAAGCAAGTCACTGCTGTCCTTCCACCACCTTGGCTCCACACACCCCTACATTTTGACTAATGCAATAATGTTTGTGTAACTATTTTCAATGACTGAAGGGATTCTGTCTTTAAAAAAAACAAAGCCAACTTTTTCTCAAAATGAACAACTTAATATCCATCTCTAATATATAATGAGTGGTCTTGGCCCATTAGGAACTTTCACTCTAATGAAAACAAAAATCTGTGTCTTTTTGTGTGTGTGTGTGTGTGTGTGTGTGTGCATTAATAATTTTTACCTCATGACAATGCCAGACTTCCCCATCCTCAGCATCTTCAACTTGCAAACGTACTTTCTTTATGGCTCCATAATTTCTGTCCATTTCCATCGTGGTCTTATAGATTTGAGCCCTTCGAAGAGAGCTTTTTGGAAATATGATGGGTGCACAAGTTCCTCGCTCACAGCATACAATGAAGGCCATTTTAGGGTTTATGCCACCGGACAAAACATTACTCGTCTTTACAGTGATATCCCAAGTTCCTATTTATAGAAAAATGAAAATATACACATAAAAAAATCACTAAAATATTTGTGGAACTCAATATAATTCTGAATTTTCATTAGCTCCATACTTAATAAAGACATAAAAATAAGTATAACCTCTATCAGAAGTTATCTCTAGGGGCAGTTAGATGGCACAGTGGATAAAGCTCTGACCTTGGAGTCAAGAGGAACTGAGTTCAAATCCAGCCTCAGACACGTGACACTTACTATCTGTGTGACCCTGGGAAAGTCAATTAACCCTGATTGCCTCACCAAAAACAAACAAACAAAAAAGAAGTTATCTTTAGAAAAATATGACAGAAAATGATATGACACTGGCTATCCTTCACTCTGCAACCATTACAAACTTGGATTTTTCAGATTAATTTTTAGATTTTATTTATGTTCCACTGTATTATAAAATAACCACTGTATACACTTTTTACACTGTATTTTTTTCTTAAGTGAAGAATATATTCTCTCCTCTCAAGATAAAGGAAAGGAAAAATTAGTTATAGTGTTAGGGAGTCCTGTAACACCATATATAATCTATTCTCTGTTTTCAATGTTTCTATGTTCTACTTTTTTTTTCTTTTTTTGGTGAAGCAATTGGGATTAAGTGACTTGCCCAGGGTCACACAGCTAGTAAGCATCAACTGTCTGAACTCAGGTCCTCCTGACTCCAAGGCAGGCACTCTATCTATTGTGCCACCTAGCTGCCCCTTTATCTTCTTCTTTAAAAAAAACAACAAATGTATTTTCCTCTCCAGGAAGCTTTATTTGAGTAGATGATATAACCACTAATCAGACCCCATATATTCACATTGTCTCATAGAAGAAGGGAAATGGAAAATGAAAACGGAATGATAAAGGTTAAAAAAGTTAAGACACACATAATATATTCAATATTTGTGCAATATTATTTACATTTACAGTGGTGTGTAAAGTAATTGGCACAAAGTAAAATAATTAAATTTATTGACATAAAATAAACCTTATGAAGTTTTTCCCATTTAAAGCGTTTAATCTGCAATATGTCCTCCTTTTGCTGCACTTTTTAAAATACAATTTGGTACTGGGCTCTGACATATTCCTTAATTTGTCATGGTACCACACTTTTAGTGCATTAGATATTAAGTATATCTTTGGAAAACTGTGTATTTTTCAAAGATGTCTGATTAAAATCCATAGATTTTCTATGTAATTTTAGTCAGGGATGTTCCAAGACCATTTAAGTTTGTTTATTTCCATCTTTTGGTGTGATGGCTCATAAAAGGTGAGGATATATTTCAGTATTTCATCTCCATTTAGGGATTTCTGTAACCCTAGAATAATTCTGCTCAGTAAATCTATATCTAGATATGTGTGTGTATAAATATAGAAATCTATTTCTCTCTCTCTCTCTCTCTCTCTCTCTCTCTCTCTCTCTCTCTCT